CTGCCACGCCTCCGAACCGGTTCTCTCGGCGCAATTTTGTTTTTGGCTTCTGCGCATGCACAGAGCAAAAGCCATTACGTAGGGAAAGTGGGCAGAAGATAGCAATAGCAGTTAGGCTTATCTACCGCTTCATAGGGCTTTCAGCCCTCTCTAAGCGGTTTACAGAGTCAGCATATCGCCCCCCCAACAACAATCTGGGTCCTCATTTTACCCACCTCGGAAGGATGGAAGGCTGAGTCAACCTTGAGCCGGTGAGATTTGAACGCCGAACTGCAGAACTGCAAGTCAGCTGAAGTAGCCTGCAGTGCTGCATTTAACCACTGCGCCACCTCGGCTCAGGGAGATGGGACAAGATGAAGGTTGACCTCTCTGCATGTGGGGGCTGCTTCTGCCCATTAGAATTGTCCCCACAGCACAAAGGCCAGCGTCCCACATGGCTGGCAGCCTAAAGTCTCACCCCGCAGGGGGAAGGCCGTCATCCTTGGGCACCCCTAGGCCTTAGTCACTCGGGGGCCAAGCCTAGGACACACACACAAACACATGTGGTCTTTTATCCCACCCTCACACACAGTGCATGCCGCACTCACCGGCTGGGTCGAAGAAAGCGGAGGGGGTGGAGGGGTGGGTGGGAGGAAGAAGAGGCGCACTATTTGGGGGCGGGAGTGGGGAGGGACAGGGACCTACCACCAGGACGTGCTCCAGAAGCTCCAGGTAGCCACTAGCACACTCCTTGCCAAAGCGAAGGGCTCGGTGCCGCACTTCACTGCCCACCTCTGGGTGGCACGCAGCTTCCTGGAAGGAGACGGGCAGATGATTGCCAGCCCGAGGCAGAAAGGAGAGGGACTGCCCTCCCCACCCCCCACAGCTGCCCAACCGCAGCCCCTGCCCCCTGGAGGAGGGTTGCGAGAGGCCCGTTCGAGGGGTGCCCCTGCCGGTTTTCTCCAGCCCCCCCCTCCTCATCAGGTTGCACGATCAGACGCCTTCCTCCTCCCCCATCAGCCTCCCACTGCTCCTGACCGTGGCCCCTCCCTCCCGCCCCCGAGCAAGACCCCAAGGCCCACCTTGCAAGAGCGCAACATGTCCGCAATGGCGCGGCGGCTCAGGTTGGCTGTGGCTATGACGTCTTCCTGGCGGCAGGAGTTGCCGGCTGCCACCGCCTTGGCTGTTGCCATGGTGATGCCTTTGGTCATGCGAATGAAGTCTTCCGGCGTGGAGGTCTTGGCAGGGGGCACCTGGGAGCAGAACACCTGGAGGGGGAGGAGGGGAGGAGTCAGCATGGGGAGTCCGGGTTGGGGGGTGTGTCAGCTGGCAGCTACAGGGAGCAGGAAGGGGACCGTCCCTCACCGCCAGCTCCTGCCGAATGTGCTCGATGGTGGCCTCCAGGGCCCGCGTCCCCTTGGTGGCCTCGTCCTCCACGGCTTTGACCGTCTTCAAGAGCGACGTGACGTTGGTGACCATCACCTGCCGACAAGCATCCAGAGAGCCGCTCAGGGACCAGCCAGCCATCTCATGTGGTGCCTGCCTCTTCTCCCCCCAAGCAGGAGCCCACCCTCAGCCAGCACCCTCCTCCGCCCTGACCTTCGCGGAGTTCTTCAGCTGGTATACCGCAGGATCGTCCCCAGACTTGCCAGCAGCGGCTTTGGTGGCGCTGATCAGGTCCCCCAGGGCTTTAGCGACGTCCTTGACCGCGTTGATCAGGACCACCTGGGCACAGAGAGGAGGGCAGGATGAGGCAGAGCCCAGGGCACACCTGCCCACCACCTGTGGCCGCGGCCCTGACCTGAGTCTCGGGGTCCTCAGAGCCCAAACTGGCAGCGCCCAGCTTCACCACCTCTGCCAGGCGTGTAATGGTCGTCACTGAAGACTGTGCCGCTTGGGCCAACTTCTCCTGGCTGGCAGTGGCATTCTGCACCAGCACTTTGGTATCTTCCACCAGCGCTTTGGCTGTCTTCAGGATGCCTTCCCTGCCAAGGAAAGAGCCCGTCAGAGCCCGCCGGAGGCCGAGGGGATGGCATCAAGGAGCTTCCGCCCACCAGCCCACGGCAGCCACCACCTGTGGTCAGCGAAGGTCTCCGCGTTCTCCCGGTTGAGGGTCCCAGCGGTGGCAAACATGATGGTGGTGTCCAGATCTGCGATGATGCCCGAAACGGCACTGGCTGCGGTGATGCACGCCTGGGTGCCCCGGTTGCCGGCTTGGAGGGCCGCCAGCACGTGGGAAACCTGCAGGGGAGCAAAGGCAGGACACCCGCTATGGTCGGAGGGTCCCATCCCCAATACGCACCCAGGTGGGGGGGAGGCACGAGGGGGGCTACAGTCACCTTCTCCGAAACCTTGCGGGCGCATTCAATCAGCTCCTTCTTGGTGTAGGCATCGCTGGGGCTGCACTGGAGGGCCCCGGCATTGGTCACCAGAGCGGCACAGCCGTGGCCCAGCTCCTGCACGCGGTTCTTAATGTGGGCGCCAATCTGGAGGGGAGCATGGAATTCAAGAAAGAAAATGGCAGGTATAGCAATAGCAGTTAGACTTATATACCGCTTCATAGGGCTTTCAGCCCTCTCTAAGCGGTTTACAGAGTCAGCATATCGCCCCCACAGNCTGGGGAGCCCCCACGTATCGCACCGTTCTCTAGGACAGACACTGCCCGCTCCCCAGTGGTGCTTCCTTAGCAGAGGGGCTGCATCTTCTCCTCCAAGGGAAGAGCCCCTGAATGCAGACCCCCCCCCCCACTGGGAAGTCTGCCACGCCACCCGTTCTCACCGGTGCTGCTTAAGCCAGCCGGCCAGAAGATGTTCCCCAGGCTCAGGAAGGGGCCGAGTGGCAACGGGGGCGCTGAAGGCCGAACCTCATAGATACCGCTTCCCGGCTGTAGGAGTGGCTGGCCAGACCCAGTGGTGCCTGCTTGAGGATGCCGTGTCTGGGCCCCGGCTCTTCCTTTGGCCGCTTGTGGGGAGCAGCTGAAGGGGGCACCCCAGGCAGAGGAGGCTGAGGATCCCTCTCTACCCTTGCCCCCCCCTCCCAGCGCTAGAGTAGGATTGCACCATTCACAAGTAAAGGGAAACACGCCCAGGAGGGCGGCGCCCGCCAAAGTTCTAGTCAGAGCAGGAATCGAGATCCCACGAGGCCGGAAGAGTCCGTGCAGCAAGCCCCCTCCTCTCCTGCCTGGGGGGGGGGGATGGCAGTGCTCCCTCCTGCCCCTCTCCCCCAGCCCAGGCCTGCCGCTCTTCCCCTGCCAGGCCAGGGCACCCACTGCCAGGGATAGACTGCTACCGTAGGAAGATGCTGGGAGCACTGCAGGAGAGCCGTGCCCAGGCGCCTGGTGGGAAGGGTGGTAGGAGCCTGGCACGTGGCTAGGCGTGGCCTGAGGCTGCCTTCCTCTCCAGAGCTGGCAAGGCCGCTGGGACTGGGCAATGTGGATCCTGCCCCCACCAGAGCTGGGTCTGCTTCCCCAGAGCCCCCTTTCCCACAGCCCCGAGGGGAGGCAGGGGCAGATGCTGGCCACGAAGGAGGGTGCAGAGAGAGGCAGAAGGGCAGAGAAACCAGTTTATTGCAGAGCAGCCCATTCCAGGCAGCCCGAGGGGATGGGAAGGAGACCCCTCGCCCTCCCACCAGCCCTGGGCTCCCGGCCTTAGGCATGTATCAAAAGTAAAAACAGGTGAGTAGCCTCAGCTTGTGGAGTTGGTCCCCAGATGCGGTCAAGCACACGGCGCTTGGGGGCTTGTGCAGGAGAGGGGCTCCTGTCGTGTGTGGGGGGGGGAGGCTCGTGTGGGGGGGAGCCAAGCAAGTTGGAGGGCTGTGGGGGGTCTGGCAGGCACTTGGGAATCAAAGGGCGGGGCCGGCCCTTCAGCCACGGGTCAGCGCCCGCCCTTAAGGCAGAATGCTGAGAGGCAGAGGCCGGGAGGGGTGGGAAGAGCCCCCGCCCCCCACCCCAGATTGCACAGCCCCGGGGGGGGGGGCTCCACGGCCCCCCCAAGACAATCAGGCTGAGCAGGCAGCCAAGGCACAGGGGAGGCTCCCCGGAGGGGCAGCCCAGGAGGGCAGTCCAGAGCACGGCATGAAGGGGCTTTTGGGGGCTCGTGCAGAAGCAGTGGGCCTGGTGGCAGAGGGTCCTGGGGCCCGGCTATGAGGAGGGCTGCCCTTGCTAGGGGTTCGGCCGTTGGGGCAGCTCAGTTCTGCCCTTCGTCCCGCAGCTCAGAGGGGAGGAACTTGTACTGCTGCTGACGGATCATGGCCAGCTTCTTCCGGGCCTCCTCCAGTTCCCGCTCTTTGCGCAGCATCTCTTCCTGGGCGGCGATGATCTGAGAAGGAGGAGGAGGAGAAAGAATCAGCAGCGGTCACCTCAGCGGAAGCCCCTCCGGCCCAGCTCCAGCCTCTCCCGAAGGGGGGGAGCCTTACCTGCGCAATCCCCCCCACCATCCGCTCCTTCACCACCACCGTCGCGTTCTCCTCGTCTTCGAAGGCCGCTGCCTTCTGCGCTGCCTTCACCAGGTTGTCTGAGGCCCTCTTCACCGCGTTGCCGGCCGCCTGGAGGATTTGCAATAGCGATAGCAGTTAAGACTTATATACCGCTTCATAGGGCTTTCAGCCCTCTCTAAGCGGTTTACAGAGTCAGCATATCGCCCCCAACAACAATCCGGGTCCT